GGGAACATGCCTGGTGTGTCCCTGCCTACATGCTTCCTTAGTACACACAGTCCCTCCTTCATCCTGCCATTCCATCTTTATCTTTTGCAGCCCTGCTCAGAGGTGCTCTCTTCCATGAAACCCTCTCTGATATACACTAGCTAAAAATAAGTTCCTTTCTCTCTGGTGACAGAAAGCATATTCTCTTTTCCTTATAGCGTGTAATGCATTGTCTTGAATTATAGTTTTTTGGGTATCTATTCTTTCTTATTAGATTATCATCTCATGGACAGAATCCTATTTTCCTTTATTATATCCTCCACAATTGGGCACGCAAATAAATATTTTTGGAAATAATGGGAGAGGTCACTTTGTTAGAAGGTCAGGATTTCCCCTGCCCCACATCTACTCACTAAAAGAAGCGCGTTTTACAATCCTAGAAAATCCAGAGGGAGTAGCAGGCATGACACTAGGGGTTCTTAGAAGGAAACATTATCTTCCACATTTTTCTGTGTTGTTAGCTATACCCTGTTTGGGGATGTGTCATGGCTTGCCTTCTGCTCAGTCACCCTGTGTTCTGCCATTGTGCACAAATAATTTGCTGGGGTGTATTGGTGCTTGATTTTCTGACTCATTTATTCTGCTCCTCAGGGAATGAAATTATGTCCCGATGGCATGGACACCTCTGCTTTTGCTCTGGGATTTAGTCTGGTTTCTATACAATGACTGCCTCCTCCAGACCTTCTCTTCAGCCAGCAACTGACACAGAGAACCCTGTGGCTCAAACAGCAGCAGTCAGAAGATGCTCTCACTGTCCACTTCCTGTAGACAAGGAGGTTTTGGTGGGCTGCTCAGGAACTGTGCCAGCCCTGTGTCTGACTAGCGACTGACTCATGAGAAAAGCAGCCTTATGTCTGCAAGATAAGAGCCAACAAATCGCCTCCAGGTGGTGATAGTTTGGAGGTGACTGACCATTTCGTCTCTTTGGGAGGAACTGGTAGGGAGGGAGTCAGTGAATAAGTGGTCTTGCCTGCATTTTTCTCCAGCTATTAGTGAAGCAGCCAAGCAAATAGTTGGTTCTCTCTGTTGGAGCGGCTAGTGGACCTCAGTGCCCTCTGAATCCCTTCTGCTGCTCTCAGGGTATCAGACTTATGTGTCATCCATCCTGTGTCTTCCCTTCATTACTCTTCTCTTCTTGCCAAGAAGCTGGCTGTGTGCACCAGGGGAACTCTGCTTGTTCCATTACTGCCAGATTGTTTTTTGACCAGCCAAACCTCATCCCTGCTGATACTGGTTTACTCCAAACCTCTCCCTGACTCAGGATTTGATCAGAAGCAGTGATTCTGAACCATTGTCCCTTGGCTGGGCTTAAAGGGTCCAAGCAGGTGGGCCTGCCTCTCCTCCCCTCCTCTTCCCTCCCCACCCCTCCTGCCTCATTCCCATTTCCTGCAGGAGGATGCTTTGCCATCCTGGAGCCGTCAAGCACAGCTTTGCTTTGGCAGCACCGTCGCGCACACACACTGGTGGGAGAGGGGACGTGTTTATCACTTTTCCTGGAGATTATCTGTTTAAGCACTTCTCTGACAGTTACAATAACAAGGGCAGTGTGTTGTGTTTCCCAGCAGAAGGACACTTGCTGTTGAAAGATGTATAGCACTAATTAGAAATACATAACATCCGGCCACATGGCAGCCTTCTCCCGGCCGCTCCATTTCCTGATTTCATACAACTTTGACGACAGTTGGTTTATGTTTTCCATGAATATGTTCTCAGAAAAATGAGAAAGTCTCCCTGTTACATAGGAGTGAAAAGAATATTTCTGCCTGAGCAGGTATTTGGCCACAGGAATAGTGGGAACTGTGGTCATCTGCCCATCTGAGAGCGTGTGGGAAGGGGCAAAACCAAGTTCAGACCTCAGGTGACTTTCTTGGTAAGAAATATTTCCGTCTGACTTCTTAGCCAAAACCGTCCCCCTAAACCCTTGAGCAAACCTGCTTTTAGAAAGAAGGGGAAAGGCTGTTTCACAATGTTAATGAGTTCCTCAGCTCATGTCAGGCTCGTACTACCTGACACAAAGCCAGAGGAACCCAGGCAAATACCAAGGCAAACAATGCTTTTTCCTTCCCCACCCACATCATTTGTTGGCCTGGCCCAGCCCTACTCTAGGGATATATATGGGCATTCTTCAGACTGGGGTCAGTTTCCCAGGTCTAGTCCCAATGTGGGTGGACTCGGAATCTAAATGCTATTTTCCTATCTACTTGTAAAAGAGTGAATACTTTTCAAGGAACAGCATCATCTGGCTTCTAACCCACAAAAGCACAGGTGAGGGTGAAGAGCATCTCCTGAAGACACCACAGCACTTAATATATTTCTAAGTGGAGGTATTGCGGTCAAGTTGCCATGGTTACAAGGGCAAAGAACTATTTTTTTCACCTGATTGAAATGTTTTACAGTTGCAAGGACCCTGTTTTATTTGTAGCTGTGTCCTCACATATCCAGTACTGCGTCGAGCACATTGTAGATACACAGTATATACTTGTGGTACCATTGAACCATGGAGAAGGGGAGGCCTTCTAGAAAGGACTCCATATGAAGTGGTCATTCAGAGAGCTGACTGAAACCTAGGCATTCTGACCCCCAGATAGCTGTGATATTGCCACCTGCTTGATCAGAGCAGTAAAGCTTAGTGGTCTGTACCTCCTCATCAGTCGGACCAGATACCCATCAGGGAGTGCTATCAGGCCTTTCCTGGGAAGGTGGGAGGTAGGGAAAAGGTTGAGGTGACATAACCATGGCCAAGAACAGAGCAGTCATGAAGCTGAACAGCTACTGCTCTGAGAAGTAGTTGAGCCTTTCCAGACCTACAGAAATGAGGCTCCAATGTTTGCCCCCCTGCCTGGCCCACAGACTTTATTGCAGGAGGCTTAAAAAAGGAGCCAACCTGGACTCCCCAGAGGTCACAGGTATCATTATTCTTAAGTAGTTCATTCTCCTTCTTGAACCGTAGACCCCAGCCCCCAGCCCCCACTTTGAATTCTAAGAAATAGTCTAGCCCGAGATTGCCATTTTTCATAAAGGTGGAAATGGACATGGTGAAAGTAATTTCCCCCTGCCTCATCCTTATCCAGGCTAATGAGAGTATCTTATTGTATGTAGCTGTGGGCTTCTTGAAATACCAGCCCCTTGGAGCTAAGACCCTCCCCCCATTCCTTTTAAGGACCTTCTGCGTGCAGGTAGCTTCTGACTGAAATGCCAAGTTGATGAGGAGACACTAATGTGTACTCAGTGTGTCACCACCAAGATGTGGCCTCGACTTGTCCTATCCTAGCTTCCTCCATCCTGGACTTATTCCTCCATTCCAGGCTTTGTTGCCAGTTAGAGGCAGACTGCTAGCACTGCTCGGCAGGGGCCTGGGCTGAGCTGGGATGGTACAGACAGTGCTGCTGCCTGTTGAAGGGGTGAAGGGGAGATGCTGACAACTTTTCTTGGGATGACTTACACATCTTCCCCTTTCCTACTTTCCGTCCTCCTTCCTCTTCATTCTTAGGTGATTGTTATCTGTCTCTAACAGAGGTTTAGAGCCTTACCAGAAGAAGAATGAGAGTGGTGATCTATTCTAATCACATGGATTGTTACCACTTCCATACTGCCTGCCACAGTTGAGTTGCAAACTTAGAGGGTGACATTTGGAACCAGTGGACATATGAAAGGATGGCAGGAAAGCCACAATAGAAGAATTGCTTCACTGATGATATTCATATGGAGGAGCAGCCTCCTTCTCACTCTCATGGCTTTCAAAGTGGTTTGGGGCTAGCTTTGTATACTCTAATCATGTTTGCTCCTGTGGCGAAGACGGTTAGGAATAACGGTGGCTGTATAGTATCTCCTAGAGTAAAGACTTCAATTAGGCCCCATTGACAAGACTGTTGTCAATGAGGAGAGAGGGGAGAGAGCTCCCTCTTGGCTTTGGAGGTTAAAATACAGGCAGGGACAGAGATCAAATATGTGGCCAATTATCCTTTTAACACTTGGAGATTCTGAGAGTTCTCCTGTATTACAGAGGGAATTAGCAGATTAGCTGCTGCCAGAACAAGTGAGTCTGGCTCCTGATTTCATCTGTGTGTATTGGGTATCTCCTTTTCTGAAGCTGCAGGTTGGACTGCTGCCTTCTATTTGTCACTGATTTCCTCTCAAGTCTGGATGAAGTGGCTATCAGGGAGGGTAGGTGCAGGCAGAGGTTTGGGTGAGTGTATGTAGCTTCCGCCAAATAATAGCTCTGGCTACCACCAAGGTGGCTCCTTAACTGACCTGGAGCCAGAGGGAAGTTAGCCAGGCTGAGAAAGTGAGGAGGAAAGGGTGCTAGTATTGGAAGCCAGATTTGTTTTTAGCCCTAGGGAAAAGAATTTGTGAAAATAAACACTAACTTGGATTAGGTGCTTCTTGTGTGCCATGTACTGTCCTATATAAAAGTAACTCAGTGAAAATAGGTTGTGTCATATGTGGTCTCTTAGGAAGAGGAACATAAAGGGGGTAAGGATGGAACCAAAGGTTGGTGATTCAGAAAGATAACTTAAATTTGTGTTTTTCTGATCTTAATTGGTATTTGTACTTCTGCTATCTATACATTAGAAAGACTAGTTAATTAAATATGAGTTCTTGTTACTGTGGCTTTACATGATCAGTAACCAGCTAAAAGCAGAGCTGCAGCTCTAGCTCAGACTGCCCATCTTGGGGTAACTGGTGCTGAGGAAATGATGTGATGCAGAATTTTACCAGTCACTCCCTGTAATAACTTTATTGAGTGTTTACCCAAACACCAGACATTGTGGTAAGTGCTCTGTGTACATTATTTTATTTAGCCTTACAACTACCCTTTGAGAGAGAGAATATTACTACTCCCAGTCTTTGGTGAGGAAAAGGAGCTCAGTGAGATGACCAAGGATGTGCACTTAGTAAGGAAGGGAGGAGTAGCCCTTGGCCCCCAGCATACTGATGGAATTTCATTTGCCTCTCCTCAGACTGCTTCTCAGAGGAGTGTCGCTCTGTGATCCAGGAGCAAGCTGCAGCCCTGGGCTTGGCCATGTTTTCTCTCCTGGTGCGGCGCTGTACCCACTTACTTAAGGAGTCTGCCAGAGGTAAGCAGATGAGAGGCCCCCTGACTGGTTGGCTTTCCAGCTGCCTGAGCCCTGTCCCAAGAAGCTTAGAATGCCATACTACTCTCCATTCTTCCATTTCTCAATGTACTCTCTTCCTTTTGTCCGCCTAACTAAGTCCCACCTCCTTAGGTATGTCTGATTACCTCTGTGGCCCTCTTTCCTCCATGTGAAACTATTCCCTCCCTCTCTTCTCCTTTGGTAGTTAGCATTTTCACTGTACCTGTGAGCTGCTGTGTGTTCTTGCCACGTTGAAAAACCAGAAAAATTAGTTTCCCTTGTTGTTCATAATTGATGTTTTGATTTTCCCCCTCTATACGTCCCTTTTTGTCTGGTGTCTGGTGGGTGCTCTAACTGCTATAGAGCAGCCATCTTGGAAGACTCACTAGACCAGAGCTTGGGCTATTTTTATCCCTTGGGTTGAGCAAGTGTCCTATATCCTTTAAGGCTGCCCTTAGAATTCAAAGCTGATTACTGAGCCATGTAAGGTAGGGCTGAGGGTTGTACTTCTCTTTCAGCTCCTGACTCAGTATTGGTGAATAGTGAAGCCCTCTGTCATTCTTTTGCTACATCACTTTGTGAATGCCTCTGACCTTTGTGGCTGTGGCTGTCTCTTTTTGGAGGGAGGGTAGGGATAACTTTTAATTTTGGAACAATTTCAAATTTATAGAGAAGTTGCACGATTATACAAAGAACTCTCACATACCCTTCACCCAAACTCTCCCATTGTTAGCATTTGATCATATTTGCTTTAAGTTCTCTCTGTTTTCATACACACATAAACTTACACTTATTTTTTTTCTGAACCATTTGACTGTAAGTTGCAAATATAGTAGCCCTTTACTCTCAAATACTTGACTGTGTATTTCCTAATAACAAGGACATTTTCTTACATTACAGTAGAGTTATCAAATTCAGGAAACCAACATTGATATAGTACTATTATTCAGTCTACAGACCTTATTCGGTTTGTACCAGTTGTCCTAAAAAAAAAAAAAAAAAAAATTCTGGTCTGGGATCCTCTCCAGGATTACACTTTGCATTTAGATGTAATGTCTCTTTAGTCTTCTTCAATCTAGAGTGGTTTCTCAGTCTTCCTTTGTGCTTTATGACCTTGACATTGTTAAGCCTACAGGCCATTTATTTTGTAAAATGTCCCACAATTTGGGCTTTTATGACATTTCTTCATGATCAAATTCAGGCTTTGCTGTTTTGGCAGGAACTCTGGTGCCATCACAGTACTGTGCTAAAGGGAAGCTAAAAGCAGGGGCTAGAGGCCAGAGTAGCAGCTTCACCCAGGCCACAGGTGGAGCAAAAACAGTTGTCTGCAGGGGCAGACCCATTGCACTGGTTCTCTCTTTGTCCTGCTATTCAGAATCCTCTTAGGTGCTGGCACTTGTCCTTCGCTTCTGGGCCCAGCTTTTCTGTGGATTTAGTCTCCCTTCCCTAAGAGCTGCTGCCATCCCAGCACCCCAAGCCTCACTCGGAGGCCATAGCAGACATAGGCCCAGTTCTCACCCTTTGCCTCTGCAGCTCAGCTGTCCTCTCCTGAGGATGAGAATGACCAAGATGACATCAAGGTATCTTCCTTCGTCCCGGACCTGAAGGAACTGCTCCCTAGTGTGAAAGTCTGGTCAGACTGGATGCTCGGCTACCCAGACACCTGGAATCCTCCACCCACATCTCTGGATCTGCCCTCACAGTGAGTCGGCCTGCTTATTCCTTCAGCACTACTGGCCTTGGCCCACCCGTGTTCCCACAGCTCCCCTCCCAGTCCTCTTCATTTCCTCTCACCCACAGCCCCTTGTTTCTCTTTCCTCCTCTCTTGAACTTTGTTTTCTTCCTTCCTTGAACACCTTCCCTGTCCACTAATGTTTTTGTCTATCCTCTGGTCTGTTTGTCCTCCTCTCTCAACCTCTCTTTTTCTCCCACTCCATAGCTTGCTCTATTTTGTTCTTTTTCTTTGCTCTTGCTCTTTCATTCACTTCATATTGTTCATGTTCACTGTTTCTGTAGCTGCCTTTTTAGCCTAGGTGTGTATTAGTGTGTGTGAGAGAGACTTAGTCTATTTCTCTCCCCCCAAAACCCCTAAACACTTTTAGTTTATCTCTACACATCTTTCAGGCTCTCTCTCGCTATTTCTTGTGCTTTCTTAGGCACTCTGTCTCCTTGCCTTCCTCTCACAACATTGTAGTGGGAGTGGGTGAGGGCATGCACCTTTTTCTTCCATTCAGTTCTTTCTTTGTCTCATCAGCATACCCCACCCCCATCTCCCTGTCTCTGTGTTTCAGTATGGTATCTGTCATTTGTTGATGTGGCATGTGTTAGTGTGGGGAGTATGTGTATATGCCCGGTTCTATCTATTTAGATCTGTTTGTGCGTTTATATGGCTTTTTTCTTCCTTTTTTAATTGTGGTAAAAAATATATGCAATAATTTGCCAACTTAACCATTTTTAAGTATATAATTTAGTGGCATTTTATATTCACATTGTTGTGCATCCGCATATCGCTATTTCTTGTGTCTGTATCAGTGTGTGCATTGTATCTCTGTGTGCCTGTTTGAGTCTGGTTGTCTCTGTGTCTGAATGTCTCTCTCTATTTGAGTGTGAGGGTCTGTGTAGTTGTCTCTGGGGATCTGTCTAAGGGTATTTCATTGTGCCTATCTATGTCTGTCTTTGTATGTGTCCATGTGCTATGTTCATATCTATGTCTCTGTCTGTCTTTGAGTGTGTGGTTCTGTTTATGGAGTTCATGTATACCCATGAGGGGTCCGTTTCAATGTGTGTCTGTTTCTCCATGTCTCTGTGTCCATATCCATGTTTGCATCTGATTCTGGGTTCATATCAGTCCATGTCTGCTTTGGTCCTTTCCATGTCTCTGTGTGTGACTGTGTCCTGTGGGAGTGTATGTTTGTGTGTGTGCCTGAATGTCTCTATCCAAGAGCACCTATGTTCGTGTTTGTTTTTGTCCATGACTGGGTCCCTCTGTTGGAGCGGGGATTTCTGTATGTGGGTCTGCCTATAACACCTGCCTCTCTCTGCTTCTCCTGTGTTTCTTCACCTGCCTCACCTATTGCCTCTGCCTGTCCCCTCTGCCTATCTCTGCCTATCTCGACTGCCTGCCTCTATCTGTCTCTTTATCTTCCTCTGCTGTGTTTGTGTGTGTCTATACCAGGGGTCAGCAAACTGGCCCGTGAGCTAAGAATGGTTTACATTTTTTAATGATTGAAAAAAATAGTATTTCATGACTTGTGAAAATGATATGAAAGTCAGATTTTAGTGTGTCCATAAAGTCGTATTGGAACAGAGCCATGCTCATTTGTTTGCACTTTGTCTATGGCTGCTTTCACACTGCACCAGCAGAGTTGAGTAGTAGTTGCAGTAGAGACCTTATAGTCTGCAAGGCTTAAAATATTAACTATCTAGCCCATTGCAGAAAAAGTTTGCCAACTCCTGATCTATATCCATGTTTCCATGTGTCCCATTCACTGTCTGTGTTTGTGTTTTGTACAATAGTGTCTTAATGTATGTGCATGTGGGCACCTATCTCTGGTCAACTTTGTTGACCGTCCAACTCTCTCCCTCTCCCTTTCACTCCTTTCTTATCTTTGTTTTTCTCTCTTGGTTTCTCTCGTCTCTCTCTGTCTTTGCCTATTTCTGTTTTCCGTCTCCTTTTCTCCTCTTCCCCTCTTTCTTTCTCTGTATTGTGGTCTCTGGCAACTGTAGTACACTCAGAGCTCCTTTAGGCTCCATGTTGGATGTATATCTGTGTTTTCAGTAACAAGCATCCATATTCAGCATGTCATCATTCTTCTCCAGTGCTCCTCCGAGAGGAGGGAAATACTGGAAGATTCAGTATGGAGACTGAGGCTCCTACAGATGACACTTCTTGGGAGTTCAGAGGGGTGCTTCTATGACTGGGGGCTGGTCATGGGAGTCTCTGGACTCGTGGGTGACCCGCAGAGGGAATGTTGTAGTAGATATTTCTGGCCAGCAGTTATTAACCTTTCTGTGTGCACTATATAGTCTCTTTCCCCTCCTTTCCTTCCTCAAATTTCTTTCTTATTCCTCACCCCAAGATACTTCCTGGACTGTTTGGCCCTCTTTCCCAATGCCTGCCCCCCAGCTCTAACGCTGTAACCATGTGAAGTGATGCTCACAGCATCAAACAGTTCTCTGCATCCTTCCTGTAAACCCTCTTAGGTTTCCAAAAATGCACTCCAGGCTGAGGCCTCATGAGCCAGGGTTGAGCCCTGAGCTGGGCAGCTGGGGCCACACAAAGGAACTGACACATCTGACTAGGGTTCAGCTGTTTCCCAGCCATGTTCCCCAAAGAGTTAACATGTACAGCCTAAAACTTTACAGGCTGTTCGTCTATAATGCCGACTAGGCAATTTGAAATTTTGGAAAGAAAATGACAAAGGCTCAGCTTTCCAAATATCTGAAGCCACTGCTTCTGAGCATATGTAAGAGTCACAGAGTAGTCCTCCTTTCCTTTTTTTTTTTTTTTTTCAGTTGGTGGGGAGGCAGACTATTTGACCCTGGAGCCTGGGCTTTCCCTGAGTAACCTCACTTCCCTACCACAAGTCCCTTAGATATGGTCCATCCAGCCTGTTTATCGTATGCTGGGCCATCAGGTCTGTTAACTCTCTTCTGAAGTCATCTCCCTTCATCCCTCCTCCCTCTTTTGCTCCCTTTGGCTTGTTTGGCCGAGGAAATGGAAAGCTCACACAGGAAGTGCTGGGCCTCATTTGCTTGAGGTGCTGAGTCTGTTTTCTCTTGGATGCTGCAGCAAATGGCTCGTTGCCGGCTTATGCGAGCTGCTGCCCATCTTTGGGCAAGGGCTCATTCAGTAGCTGGGCACGTGGTCCCAGGCTACAGCCATCCCCAGCTGGGCTTCACCTCCTCAGCTACAAAGAGGCAGAGGAGGTTGGGACACTTCAGTCAGATTTGTGTAGTCTTTTTAGACTTCTTCATGGAGGGAGGAGATCTGACTAAATAATATACTGAATCCTATTGCCCAGTAACAAGTTCCTGTAGCTGTAGGCACCACTTATTCTCTGATGAATCCAGTCTAGGCTAGAGAAGTCAGTGTGGTAGAGAAGAGTCCCTTCTGTGCTGTCTGTCTCTGTACTCAGGATCAGCAACTGGTTGTTTCTAGAATATAAGTTTAAGCCTAAAGGAGGGGCTTTGCTGTCCTGGAACCTGACCACAAGTAATGGTGGTTTGACATCTGGTGCCATTGTTGGACAGAGCAAACCTGACCTGACCACCACTTGAGGGTAGCCCTACCTCATAGCCTTCAGGTCCAAGCTCTGGAAAACTGGAATATGAATTAATATCCCTCCTTTCTAGTTTTTCATATAGCTGCCTAACACTTACTGAGTAAACACTGTGGTTGAGAGATTGGTAAGGTATGATGGTTTTGTGCGTTTCAAAGTTGTGTCTTATGCCTACTGATCTTTTCATATTGTGGAACCTTATCTTTAAGGCCATAGGGAATAACATATTCCAGATAGTTCTGTAGATGTCAGAATAGTAATCCCTTCTGACACTCTTAAGGTCTTTGTGTGTGATCTTCATTTTGGAGAGTTTAGGAATGCTCTTAAGAGAGTAGGAAGGAAATGGCTTCCACTTAACACCTCTATTTTTTTGTTGTTATTTTTATTTTTATTTTTTTAGTGAAGTTTATTGGGGTAACATTGGTTAATACAATTATGTAATTTTCAGGTTATACATTGTAATTTGACATCTATATATTCTATTGTGTGACTACCAACCAAAAGTCCAGTTTCCTTCAGCTATCATATCTTTGATCCCTTTTACCCACTTCTGCCTTCCCCTACCCCCTTATATTTGACCCACTTTACCCCGTCTACCTCTCCCCTCCTCCCCCACCCCCTACCCTCTGGTAACCACTAGTCCATTGACCATGTCCCTGAGTCTCTGTTTGTCCTGTTCATTTGTTGCTTTTAGGTTTATATCCACATATAAATGATATCATGTGATTTTCTATGTTTTCAGTCTGGCCTATTTTGCTTAGCATGATTACCTCGAGGTCCATCTATGTTGTTGCAAATGGCAGTATTTCATCTCTTCTTATGGCTGAGTAATATTCCATTGTATATATGTACCACAGCTTCTTTAGCCAGTCATCTATCATAGGACACTTCGGTTGCTTCCATATCCTGGCCACTGTGAACACTTCTATTTCGTATGCTTTCTTTGGTCTCTGCCTGCATTTGTTCTCTGTGAAGATAAACTCCTCATTGATCCTAAGATATGGTGGCCAGATAGCCTACATTTCGGTTTGCTTTTCCTCCAGAAACCCCTATCCTCAGATTGTCTCCCTGATACACTTGGACACTTATTTAATCTTGCTCGCTATCTATTTTGTTAACATCTTTCCTTGTACAGTTAGAATCATTTCAAAGCATCCCTCATTTTCCTAGGGGAATTCCAGAGCTCATCATTAGTTTTCTTGGTTCTCTCCTCTTGCCTATATGCCTCTTCTTTCTGGTCAAATCTGCTTTTCCTAGGCAACAGCCACTTAGGCACATGTGGAACATTTAGGGTGATGATGACAGAACATCACTGACACTGTACAGTGATAAGGGCAGGATTTCAGAGCCATTTGTGCCTTCCCACACAGTGGCACTTAGTATGTATGTGTGCTGCATCAGCATGTAAGTAGGTTGACTT